CCCCATGGGGCAATGTCCGAACACCCCTTCAAAATGTATGCTTATACAAAATACACGCAGAAACTCACATATCGTTAAGGATTGGTGTGCTAGGACACGACGCCATGGGGTAGCATGCCCTAAAGACCGTCTGATATAAGTCTAAAAATGTATCTAATATGACTATGACGAATGAAAAGACCCGAGAGAAAAAAATCAGCTTTAGGAGAAGTAACTTTCGATATTCTCATTATTAATGTTACATGGTGTAACAATGTGGATTTTTCACTCGGAGCTTTCTGCAAGATCCGTTTTTGAAGAAACCCATGGAAGTGAGTAAACCCTGGAATGTGAGTGAGATGTGCTGCTGAGGAAAAAAAAAGGAAGACAATGAATGTAGCAGCTAAACCGCAGGCTAGTTCGAGAGAAAATGAATAAATAATAATAAGTTAAATTGCGTTTTTAGTCCTGCTGGTTTAATGTCGTAGCAATTTTAGTCCCAAGATTCTAACATTTCGTCTTTTGGTCCTACAATTTAATATTTTGCAGCAATTTCAATCATTTGAAAATTGAAATAGCAACAAAATTTAAATTATAGGACTTAAATTGCTAATAAAAAAAATTATAAATTTGGGAATTTGTTGCAATTTCTATCCTCAAAGGATTTAAATTGCAGCAAAATATTAAATCACAAGACAAAAAGGTGAAATGTTGGAATTTTGGGACTAAAAATGCAATTTAGCCAATAATAATATTTCTAGTGACAACAGAAACTAGAATCATTTTTTTCTTTTTTAATTTTTAATGTTTGAGCATGTAAGAATAAGATTCATCGCTTTTTTGTTGGACAATAACAAGAAAAACTCACTCTGATTTGGACATGAAGTTTCTAGCATCATCAGTTGCAGCACATGCAGCATACACAGCCAACTTCTTCACCTGCAAACAGGTCAAGATTTAACTGAATTCAATTTAATGCAAATAGTTTGATAATCACCAAGCAGATTGTTATTTTAATAATAAGTACAGCTTCAAATACTTATATAAACCCGAAGCTATTCTTTCCACCACATTAATATTTTTTATTTACATACAAAAAAAGAGTACACTTATTTCGGAAGGGAAAATTAGGATATAGAAACAAATGTAAATGGGTTGTTTGTAATATTTTAAGATAAACTAGTTTTTTAATTATATTCTGTAATTAACTATTCTTAGTAACAGTAGCAGAAAGACGAAATCTGGTGGTAGTAAGTACCTCAAGAATATCTTGTTTCGATCTATGAGAATTAGGAAGCTTCCGGAACTCTTGTGTCAATCGGATGCATTCTTGAATATTATCAGGGGAAACAAAGTCCACAGCAACTTTAGTGCATGACTGGCAAAATTTATTCAGATAGCAGAATTTTAGAATATGAATAACAAATGCAGTGATAAAATTATAAAAAGTGTAAAACGTCCATTCAAACCTTTGCCAAAATGCACACCTAAAAAATTTATCAACAGGTACATATTTTCTATATAAAATAAATAAGAAAAAATTATCCGAGAGCTCACCTGTCTATTTCTCACTTGATGTGGACAACCAGCAGGAATGAACACAGCCTCACCAAGATGTTGCTCAAATGTCCAAGCTTCAACATCTAAAACTCAAGGATAATAAGATTTATTGCTAATTTACTGCTTGGATAATTATTTACATACACAATTATGCAGGGATAAAATAAAATAAATAAATAAAGCTTACGAAATTCCTCCTTTAAATTTTTTTTATGCTTCTCATCCAAATAAAAAACCTGGTCATGGATAGGATGCGCAACCTATAGCAAGAAGTAAAAAATACCAATAAAAAAATCAATTGTATAATTTTTTCCTTGGGAAAAATAGTTTAGTGAGAAAAAAAGATACTCACATTATTTACTCGAGAATTATTGTGATGACGAAATTCTTCCTGATGCTTTAGCAAATACTCGTTTATTTTGGGCACATCTTGCCGTCTGAAGATGTCCCAAACGGCAGCACCATATCTAATTCCAGACGAGCTTTCACTATGGTCTTTAACTTTTGCTTCAGATTCAGATTCAGCTTCAGCTTCACATGGGCATTCTACTTTTCGAGTGTTCTCTGTACGTTTAACTTCAAATTCACTCCGCAACTTCTGAATCACTCTTTTCTGCCATAACGATGTTTTCACCTCCGTTGCGTGGGTCAATATGTTCACCTGCAACAATAATCCCACACATTTTAAAACATGTGAAACATATTTATTTGAAAAAAAAATATGACTTATAAAAATTATAATAATGAAATGATAATGCTGTATCAAAGGTGTTTTCAATTTTGAAAATTTAGGGTGTGATTGGTTATAAACTTAACAACAAAAAAAGCAATCAAAACTCAACTTTAACTCAACTCCACTATCCTCAATATTCTCAATATAATTAAATACAATCAACAATCATTCTTACACACCGCATCGACTTTAATTCACTATTCATCCACTAACATAATTTTAACTAACTATCACTTCCAATCATTTTTCTTTTACTTTTACATCAAATCAACTTTAATTATTTTATTTTAAATATTATTTTAATTTAAACTTAAATCCCCACTAACAACTAATCATACCACATTTTTTCAAAAAATTAACTATGGTTAACAAAAAACTCAATCACACCCTTAGTTATATATTCTTCGCCTTACCGCATCAGAAATGTCACAGTGCAGTTTAGCAACCGAATCACCATTCCCAAGCTCTTCTGGAAAACCATAGGCAATATACGTTTTAGGCCCCAAATCAGGCTTCAAGGCACTATCAGGGAGCTTTGTTGCAAGATTTAAGAGGCCCGATTTAGGATGTGTGTAATCACAGAAGGGAAGCATAGCCATAAACTCCGAATCGTGTCTTGGCAAACATTCTCCGAATAAATTTGCAGGCGGCCAGTCCTTTAACTTCAGCATCTCGGGCCATCCATTTTCATGCTTTCTCCCTTCTAAATATCCTTTAAAAAATTGACGAATATTGATCTCCACCTGTTATACAAAAGAAATAAGGATTCTGGATTAAGTTAGCCATGTATTTGGTTACCTTATAAGCTTTCTGCATTCAAATAAGCTTCGTTTGGTAGGACGAGCTTTTTTAAAAGGCTCGAGCTTATCACATAAGTTTTTTTTGGGTACCATTTCAAATAAGCTCGTTAAATTTTTTATTTCAGCTAGATTTATTAGTTAATTTTACCAAACACTTTAATCTTATCAACTAGCTTTTCCAGAAGCTATAAGCTCGAAAATCGCTTATAAGCTATAGGCTAGCTTATCAGCTATCAACTAGCTCGTTTGAAACAAGTACCTCACACCAATCCAAGCAATCGATAGCCTTCACGGAGAAAGTTTCTTCATTTAATCTTTTGCTCGCGTTCTTAAAAGCCCTCAACATGACCATCGGCTCCCAACTAAGACCAGAAGCCCCCGAAAGCGAGTCTCTAACAATAACAGGTTCGCCTCTCCTCCAATGCATCTGAAAATGTTCGAACGAGCCATCTCTCATATCAAGAGCATTAGGGCAGTACACAAAGTTATCTTCACCGTGTTCTCTGTGAGCCGCTTGTCGCACTTCGGAAAAGTCATTTTCGACACAAAGAGAACATTCGCGAGAGATGTCTATATCTGGAAGATGGTAATTCAGAGTAAACTCCTCTGCTGTGGTAACTAATTTTTCGACCAAATTAGGATCTAAAATGCGCTTTAATTGCAAATCGTGAGTTCCACAACCGCCGTACGCTTCGGGAGGACAAGGTATTCCCCCGTTTTTCGTAGCTTCCCATTTTGGAATTTTATTGTTCGTATCACTTGAGCAACTTTTTATGTCTGAAAATGGTTGAAGACCTGTTCTGAGTTCATTACAACAATCGAGACAGACATCATAGGAACACGAGACACAGCTTCTATGGAAATTGACGATTGATGTCTTGCAGTAATCGCTGTTAAATAAGGAGACAATGCATAGTCAGCATTTTGTATTAAGAAATGGAGAAAAGTGGCCAATGAGGCGTTCAGTCTAGTGTTTAATANTAAAAGTCCAGGTCAAGAAAGATGTATTCTAGAATACAAACACACAACACTGAGACGTTAAGTAATGCGCAAATATATTGAGTATATTGGAACAAACAATAAAACAAAATGAGTACATTGGAAAACAGCTTTCAAGTAATGCTAGGTAAAAAGAAAAGTCTCTATGATGAGACCCTTCAGCATATCTGGTAAGAAATGGGAGAAAAAGAAGTATGAATCTCAATTATAGCAAAATAAAATATAGCATTCAAAGATATGTCGTTAAACGAATAAAAAGAGCTTCATTTTGCATTTGTTACAGTTGGAGGTGCCTACTGAGATTTAAGCAAGAACCCGATATTAAGAGTTGGATGAACACATACCAGTATACCCGATCATCTTCCTCAAAAACAGCCACTTGCACATCTTCTTCATTTATCGGAACACCTTAATAACAAACGAACAGTAATTTATCACTCATTACGAAAAGTTTCTTTCTTTTTTCTTTTTCTAAGGCACAGTGGAAAAATTTACGAGTATCCACTTTAGTACCTCGCATTCTGGACTCAAAATCTAGCTCAGTTTTCTGCTCAGATTGTATCATCCTAAGTAGAGGAAGAACATTGAAAAGCAAATAAAGAGATCTTTGTAGTCTGATATTCTCATCAGCTTCTATTTGGCAGCTCTATAAGAGAAGCAAATGACAAGAAAGCATGTAAGCTCAACTGACGACATGGGATCAGGAAAAGGAAAAAAGGGATAAGAATAAAACATACGAACCTGCAAAATCACATCTGCTTGAAGGCAAGCTCTGCAGTTACAGTTCCCACAGCAAAACGGGCATGATTTTTTAACTTCTTCTTTTGTTCTCTTAGGATACCTATAGTTTTCACAACGTTTCGGATCTTAGATGCATATACGTATTAAATATTATAAGGAGAAGTCACAGAGCTTCAGAACAGAGTCTGCAGTATGTAATAGGTCAAGTTCTTACAAATATTGAAATCCATGTTAATAAAATAATATTAAAAAAAAACATGTGCATAAAATAAAAAATGAAAAATCTTGGCACCAACCAAGGAAATTTATCGAGCCAAAAGCAGAAGTGTAAAGTAACTAGCTGCTTCATTTACCACTTTCTAATGCACTTAGAGCAGTAGCGTTTTCGTTTGCAATTTGAGCAAATGACAATACTATCTTTGTTACTCTTCAAGCATTGGTGGCACATCAAACCTCGCTGATCCTTTTGATTGGTGGAATCCTGCAAGAAAACACAAATAATTTTTTTTTTTTTAAACGTACAAGAAAAGGACAACACCAAGAACAACAGCAATGCGCTTCACCAATTAGATGATTGGGTTTAATTTTAGAAGAAAAAGGAAAGAGAAAATCCAGAGACCTCAAAGTCATTTTAATTTTACATCTAGAATAATAAAAATAAAATAAAAATGTCCTCAGTGGAATAAGGTCTATTAGCACGAACATTGTCCTGGAATGGCGTCTCATCTAGAATGATCAAACAGCTAAAATATCCTCAACTAAATCAATAAACCTTTAACTATCTCAGTGAAAATTAGACAGCAAAAGAAAAATATCAGCACTATAGATGTGTTAGATAAGCCCAAGTCCTAAAACGCCAAAGGATGTTGCACTTCTAAAACCAGTCAATGACACGTCACCATTTTCATACTCCTATTTTCTCATTTTGGTCTGATTGAAGATGACAATAGACAATAGTTGGTAGCCATTACACAATTCATAAAACAAGATTTGTCCAAACATGCATTGTTTTGCCACTATACTAGCTTCTTTCAACACAGAATACCGAAATTCTTGTAATATCAAATAGGCTCAAGCACAAGTTAGATAA